TAGGGTTTTCAGAGGCCTGCTATTTTAGAAGTGGATGGCCAATCCTTCTTCCTAGTCTGTCTCAATGTGAATGTTCAGATTTAGAGAAGTATTAGACAGACCAGCAAGTTATTATTAACAGTAATGAATCCATAATAATGGAAAGCTGGAAGATTTCTAGAAACCATATTTTTCAAGTTAAATGGTATATATGAAAGAATTAGAGTATAAAATTGAGTTGTTTAGTAGTATAAACCAATTTAAAGACAACTGGATCCTATACATGTAAAAAATTGGATTTTATAGGCAAGTAAGGTCTCTTTTTCACTTGAGAGTATTTCAAATTTCCATTGCCATTCAAACAATTATATGATGCACATAGTATTTTATTTACAAAGTTTTTTAAACCCCAAACATTTACTTCTAAGTATTATTAGGACTCAATACTTTAAAAATGTAGTGTGGTGTTTTTAGCACAGTGAACATGATAATGACGTGAAAGCATTTATCTCACTAATTGAGGTTATCATAGAGACACTGTGAAACAGATTGGATGTGCAGGAATGTGTGCCTTTCTATATCAGGGTAAATATGTTGCTAAAAGCAGCAGAACAGATTCACTCATTCTGAATTTTCTGAGCACCACCTAATCCTCGATGCTATGCTAGGTAAAATAAAACAAAATATATGAACACTTGGCCAAATTAATAATCTAACAAATTTCTACACTCTCCTGCATTCATAATTCAGTCCCATCACCAAAAATGGTAAGAATGTAAATGAATGTCACCAAATTGTATATGTGAAAAATGTTGAATTGGCAAATACGTGTGTGTGTGTGTGTGTGTGTGTGTGTGCTTGTATGTGTTCTTGACAACCAAACAAATATCTGTAAAGGTGCCAAGAATGCCAAATCTCTGGATCCCTCTCCTTTGCTCTTTATTTTTTATTTAGTCCTTTGTAGACAGCAAAACAAACCAACTTGTTCCCGTGTAAATGAATTTATCACTGCTTTTTACTGTAGAGGCTAGCCAAATGTCACTATACATAGCTATGTGTTCTTATTGTGACATTTGACTCTCTAGATAGTTTTAAATAAAATGTTTTATTTTAATTGTGATTTTAATGAAAGTTTACAGAAAAGTTAGATTTTCATGAATTCATTGCTGCACAGTACCCCCACCCCGTTCCAGTACACTTTTTTAAATTTTCTTACATATTCATTCATTGTTATACAATTACCTTCTTCCCCCTGCCCTCCAGGTCTCTGTGCAATGTACCTCTTATGCTGGGCTATTGTTGTATATTGTTGTACATATCATGTCTAATCATATCCTCCTTTAAACAGTTCTTTCTTTCATCTATTCCAGTGCAATGTTCATTATCTATCTGCTCTTATGCTATTCGCCTCCCAAACCCTCATGTTAGACCTGCTTTATAACAGTGGTGCTATGCAGTATTTGCCATTCTAGATATTTTATGTAATACACATATATAAATATGTAGATAGGTAACTTTTTCCCCTTAAGCAACAAAATAGCACTGGCGCTGCAAGGTACCTTAACCTAAGGCCAGGCCACTAAGTGAGCATTCTGGGTGTAACTGTTCCAAAACACTATAAAGCTAAAGCCACTTGGAGGGTATCCTGTCTGATCTTTAACACAAAATAAAATAAAAAATACTCTTATATTTGCAAAAGCAACCTTCCCAAAGTAACGAGGTTTACAGGAAAGTTTTGATGATAGTCACTTACCAGTCCCAGTGGGCAGCTGAGGGCTTGGAGGGGATGGAGAATTTTCCTCCCCAGCATCTGAAACATGCTCTTGACTGGTAACTAGGAAAGGAGAAAAACAAAATTCTGCAACCAGGGAGAGAAATTTTACCCACATTGTGCCCAGCAAAAGAGATGTGAGACTGTGGCTTGCCGTTACTTGCTTGTGGAGGTTTTTTTAAAACCTTAGAGCTCTGCGCTTTGCAGCTCTTACTCTGGATTTTGAATCCATGTCCTGCTGATTGCCCATCTGTTAAGCTGCCTAGTTTAGAGGACAGCAAACTGGACCTCTGTGTAGTGTTACATTTGTCAGGAGGCAAAGGGGATTCACTGCGTCTGTCTATGTTTATATATATCTATCTGATGGTCACTCCATCCCTCTCTCCTTCCATCATCCATCCATCCCTCCATCCATCCAGGTACCTATTCATTACATAGGTAATTTTTCTATTTAGTTTTGGAGTTCCTGGGTGGTGTAAGTGGTTAATAAGTATGGCTGCTAGTGGAAAAATTAGAGATTTGAGCCCTCTTGAGGTGCCTCAGAAGAAAAGCCTGAGAATCTACTTCAGAATAATCAGTGATTGAAAATCCTACGGAGCACAATTTCCTACTTTGACCCACAGGAGGCCAGCATGAGTCAGAAACATGAGTGGGATGGTGATAGAGACGAGAATTTTGAAGTGGACGCAGTGGCCACAAAGATGCCAGAGAACACTGAAGAAAGATGAAAATGACCACAAAAAGAGTGAAATGTTGAAAAACACTGAATAGAGTGGTTGGATGCAAGTTCCAAGAAAAATGGAATGTGGGAAATTTGGATAACAAAAAGCAGAAAGTTTCTTAATAAGAATAAGAAGGAATATGTGATTAGGTATTATTGTCATGACAGGAGTCCAGAACGAAGGCTGCATAGTGGAGTGGACTTGGGGGGAGGGATTGTAAAACAATGAAAGAATTTTTCTTTTACTTTTTAAAGAGAAGGGTGTACTGGGGGGGAAGGGTAGACAGGGAGAAAAGTGCAACAATGAATGAATGGAATAAAAAAATTAAAACAAAAGAATTAAGATCTTTCAATGCAGTGTATGCTATGCTGATAGAGCTAATTATCTATGTACAAAACTAGTGTGTACATAAAATTGGAGTTTATTCTTTGATCTGTGCTTTCAATTGACAAATTGCTACATTGATGTCTTTAGACTGAATGTTGTTTTGATTAGTGAGTTAAGGTTTCTTCCCTGGCTTTTAGACCTGTCCTATCCAATAGAGTAGTCAACAGCCGACATGTTAATGATTTAAATGAGTTCAAGTAAAATACTATGGAAAATTATTTCCCTTTGTTGTGCCAGGCAGGTTTCAAGTGCCTGCTAAGTAAATAAGAATTTTGGAAAATTTGTACAACTTCTCAGTATTTAAGGCTTTCCTGATGAAATTGGTGGTGATCTTTATGTGATGTGCTTTTAATATTGAGGTATGTCAGTATCTGAAGATTTGCGTAACTTGGTGAACCAGCATCTTTTTAAATGTTACAACAGCATGCACAGGTAAAAGACAGTATGAAGTGCATGACGGCTCAATGGATTCAATGTGTCAATTGATAACACATAACAACAACAGTATATGACTAGTGATTTGTGATACATTATCTAGGAAATTCCTGGGCTCAAAGAATTTTATGTAGTTTTGCAATGATTTTATCTCTTGGGCCTTTATAGAAGGAGTTTTGGAACAGAAATTCTAAAAATAGAGAGAAGCCCTCTTTCCATTGAATATTTCATGTAGTAAGGGATATCTGTTCAGAATATCAACATGGCTAAACTGGGATCCTCAATACATCCATGACAAAAGAAAACTTATAAAATGAACTTGAAAAGTAATCATGAGTAACTGGAGTTGACTTGACAACATCTAATGACAATGTGACTGCATAAGCATTTTTTATGAACATAAAATGATGTGGATGAATTTAGATCTCCTTCAGCTGTTGTTATTTCCTTTGGGGATCAATATAAAGATACAGTATGCTTTATCAGACCTCTCCAAATACGCAACTACAGTAAAATTTCTTAAGGCCAAATTGCTTTAGAGGTCATTATAGAAAAACATAGTGTCAAGGCCATGGAGTAGGAACCAACTCGCAGCTGACTTTCTGGCTGGTTTTTGGAGGCTGTAAATTGCTCAGAAAGAGATTGCCCTTCTTTCTCCTTCAAACTATTAAACAGATATTATCTTTTTGGTCAGCTGTAAAACACAGTGCTATTTACATGCAAGATTTTTCTTGTACAGCTGAGAGTCGTTTGAAAGTCAGAGCAGGTACAATCTTGTAAGCCAGAAGGAGACATTTCAATCACTAAAGCAATTTGCCATTAAGGAGAGCTTGGCTGATAGTTATCTAAGTCTGAAGGAGTTTTCCCCATTCAACTTACTTTTTTGACAGTGTAATACTTAGGTAAGTGATAATGACTAGAGATAATAATTTGCTCTTCTTACCGAAATCTTCAAACCGGAAAGAGGCCATTAGTCTTCTCTCTCGCAGGCCTTCATGTCGGACGATGCAGTCTGCTGTGGAGGTCTTGCTGTAAGTATGCACTCTGAGTGTGCTGGTTGAATTATATTTCTTCCCATCAAGTGTGTGTTGAGTTTCACCTAAATAGCAAATTAAAAGGGCATATGAGTTTGTGACTGTCTAATGCTATTGGACATGTTTGGTTATCTCAGTCACTAATGGCTTTGGCTTGGTTGCAAACACATTCAACTTGTAGCATCAGCTTGTGCATGTTTGGTTCTCATCACAAAAGAAAGCAGGGGAGCAAGAGTGAGAAGATTCCTATGAACCTTCACAACCAAACCCCAAAGTCTATGCTGTCAAGTCTATTCCAAGTCAAAGTCACCCTATCAGACAGAGTAGAGTGCCCTCTAGGGCTTTCAAAGCACACATCTTTATGGAAATGGACTATTTACAGAATGACTAGAGGGTTTGAACAACTGACCTTTCGGTTAGCAGCCAAATATTCATCCACTAATCCACCAGTGCTCTTTTTATTCCCTTTCATTTTATTGTGGTTTAAATGAACATTTACAAAGCAAATTGGTTTCCTACTCAAACATAGCAACACAGTTTTTGCTTATGTCATTAATTAACAAGCCCTACAATGTGACTTCACTCTTCTCTGTTCGCCTCTGTGATTCTCATTCCCAATAACCCTTCTTTCCAAACCCTCTTGCCTTCTGAACTTTGTGGACAGATGCTGTCTTTTTGACCTTATGTAACTGCTTGTTCTAGGGAATGAGTGCTTCCCAGGTATTATTGCTTACCTTATAGGTCTGTCTATTATTTGGGTAAAAGTCATGCTATAGGAGTGAGTTTGATTCCAGGTTTGAGGAGTGACTAAGGGTTATATAGCTTTGGGGATTCCATTAACCTCCATCAGACCGCATGCCTGGTCATATTTACTTTTTTTTTTAAGTTTTGTTTCACATGCTGGTGTGGCCATTGCATTGCATTGCATTGCATTGCTAACTAAAATGCTGAGTGACTCCAGGGTTTGAATCCACCGGCACCTCTGAGAAAGAAAAACAGGCAGTCTCCTCGCATCAAGAGGAGCGCTTACTGCAGCATCTGGAGTGAGGGTCACCAGGAGCGGGGCACATTCTCCCCAGCAGTAAGTTTGAGTTTTGAGTTTGTGCTCATTTCAAACCCTTCACTTAAAAACAAGTTCAGTGTACTGTGGTCACACCTGATAGTGTTGTGAAACACAAAGGCCAAAGGGGTTATTTAGGTTGCAAGAATATGGGTAAATTGACAATTTCCTAATGAAGCAGGATTGACACTGGACTGGGACAGGAACCTGATCTTTTCTCTAGACTTTCACTTGGTCCTCAGTTTTCAGGAAAGGGTCCCATGAAGCTCTCAGAATCTATGTTACATAGATATTGAATGGAATTTCTGTTGAAATGTAAGCAAGCAATAAACAGCTTCCAAAACACCACGGGGAATTCATTTTCCTTCTTCAATCAAACAGCTCTAAGTTTGGACTCTCTGGTCCCAGAATAACTTTATCTGTGGTCATTGGGAGTATAACACAGTGCCGCACTATCTAAGGACAATCATATCAGTCCCTATTACAAGTATCATGCTAAAATACATTCTAAAAAAATACATTATCAACCATATGGCTGCTAGAATGTTACTCTGCTCAGACGTAATAATTCTGCTTCATCATGTAGTTTAAGAGCTTTTGCCACCTTTTAACAGGTCACAATTAACAGTCTTCCTTAACTTTCTATCTTGCTGTTGTTATGTACCTTCGAGTTGGAATCTACTCATAGCTGACCTTCTTCCAGTGGGCTTCAGAGGCAGTTAGTGGCACAAGAGGACACTGCCCATCTTCTCAAACGACAGCTTGTGGATTAGAACTTTCAATTTGAAAGCGCAGCTCGTTACCACTAGACCACTGCAATTAGCTGATTTCTATCATGTTGTATACCGTCGAGTCAGAACCAACACAGAGCTGACCCTCCTGTGGGTTTTCAGAGGCAGTTAATTACCGGAGAAGTTTGCTGGTGGCCTCGAACCTCTTCTCTTAGGGATTGCAGTGCAGCTTCTTGCCACTAGACCACCAGAGCTCCCTCCCTGGTATCTATCTTATTATAGGCTATTTTAAATTATTTATTATCTTTTCAAGACTAAGGCATAATCTAATACATTTTTAAAGATGATTTATCTGGAAAGAGTTGATAAAATAAATGGAATACTGGCCAGTGGCACAATCTGCCACCAGAGGGAGCTAGAACATTTAAAAACAAAGTCCTTGGCAATTTCAGTTAAGAAAATAAACCAAAAATTTATCCACTTACTGTAGAACTCAATACCGTTCCCCAGTTGCCAGGTTATCTCTGGAGGAGGCCAACTTCTTATGGTGGAGCATTTAACTACAACATGCTGTTCCCCATTTTGAGCTCTGATAGTGGAAACTTCAAGGATTGCCTTGCGAGGGCTCACTGGAAGAGAACATATCTTCCTGAGTTTTGTGCACTGGTTGGTCTACAGACCTCAACAAAGCGCGGAGCCTTATAATTGTTAAGGATCTTCCTAGGTCTGATCTCATTCACGGGCATAGTTTTTGCTTGGCATTTACCCAGAAAAGTCGTGTTAAAGGGCTTTTGTGTGCTGGTCAAGCTCCTAGGGCTGCCAGTCAGAACAATTATTGGTCCAAAACTAGTCCCCCTTCCATCACCCACAGTCAGAAGAACATGAGTAAGTTCTCCAAACTTCTTTCTGAGTTTTATTGGTTTCCTTGCCTGTTAAGAAAAATCTCTTTGTAAACTCCAAGTCTCTTCTAGCCTTACACATTCATGAGTACACTGTGAATTCCTCTTAGTGCCCAGGATGCATTTCTTTTATAAAGGGCAAGTGGATCTTTTTTTCTTACCACTCTTGTCCTGAAAAACCTTTTCCATTTGACCTCACACTTTGATCCAGAACTTCATGCTTCCACATCTGCTTACTTAGTCATTCTGTCAATGAGTCATTTCACCAACTAAGCATTAGATGTGTTAGATGCTGGTGATATATAGATGGGAAGAGGGATAAGAAGATGGCCTTTTAGCAGCTAATTGTGTAGTGGTGGACCCAGCCTTTAAGCTGTTCCTAGGAGACGCTGTGTGCTGAGTGTTGAGATGGCTGTAAAACTCAGAGGAAAGTGCTCCTTATCAACTACTTTCCTGCAAGGCCCTCACGGCAGACACCATGATGCAATAACTCAAGCGAAGTCTAACAAATCCATTTTATGTGGGGTTGAGTTGGTAAAAAACAATAACTTTAATTGATCTGCTCTGCAAACCCATACACAGCGAAACATCCACAAGGAAGTAAAGATAGTGAAAGTCATACTGGATACAAGTGGCCATTCATAGAAATGAGTGAGTCCAGGATATCACCAGGCTTACTTTCTGTTTCTGCTCCAACAGAGGATAGCATTCTCTATGGGCAGAAGATGTCTGAGAATGGACTAGCCCTTTCAATCTGAATAAATACTGTATCTCAGTACATGCAGTTACAGAATTTTACTTTCTTTCTATACATGCCTTGATTTCTTTAGGGTCAGAGACAGTGCCTATTTCATCTCTGATTCCTGAAAGCATAGCATGTTGCCTGCAACAGAGGCGAGGCTTATCAAATATTAACTGTCTTCTTTTTCAGTTATCCAGAAAGGAGATGTAATTAGCATCAAAGACAAATTTTACAGGCTTTATCCAGAACTTGGCTCAAGGATGCCACTCAAAATGTCCTCTTGTTTCCATTCAACAGAAGTAACCTAGGCTATGCCTTGGGTACATAATGTTATCGGTATATATCTAGATATGTAAAATATTAATGTATAGTACCATGATTCTATGCTATAGAATAATATGAATATTTAATGGAAGTATGTAAATGTATCTATGTAACACTAATATGTCAAGCTTGGAAAACAAAAGCAATACTCTAAGTATACTGCTCCTTATCTGGCTTTACTTGCATCCCAGCACATACCTAGTACAATCACTTTCACTTCCTTTGTTCTCACGGAAGTGTTGCTGTAATGCAAACACTTGTACACGCCTTCGTCTTGCAGAGTGATATTAGGCACGCTGATGGAGAGCTGGCTGATGGAGTGATGAAGAAGCTGGTATTTGGAATTTTTTAAAGCTGTTCAAGAGGGAAAAAGGAAAAAGAGGTTGTGAAGAAAAGCATCAGATGAATACCGCCTCTCAGTAGTTTTATTATTTACAGGAATAGCTTGATTGTCTCAATTTCAAGAAATAAATGTCACAGCTTTGATTTTGCTGCCTTCAAAATTCTAGTGACAGCGGCTGGATGCCTCTTGCTAGGTCGAAGTCAGTTTAAGAAACTAGATATTTTGATACTGTGATCTGCAAAATAAACAGACTTTGATATTTTTTTGTTGTTGTTAGTTTCTAGCTGCTTATAAATAAGAACACTGTGCTAACTTGGGGTTCAGACTGTGGGAGGGTTTTAAATTAGATGTATGTTTTTTTTAGATGTATGTTTTAAAAGATGCTGAAAAATGGCTTAGAATAATTTACATCTTATCTCATCACAATAAATGTGAAGCGTACAAAAGAAATAGGCTGATACTCGTAACTCCGGCTAGGTGCCTTCCGTTTTAATTTTACAAAGGTCATTATAAGGTGAAATTTCTCAAAGATGATGACTGAGACCTTCTAGGTGTTTAGACAATGGTAAAGCAGAAAGTTCCAGGATGTTCCAGCCAATAGTAACCACTTCTACTGCAATTTAAAGAGCAAATGAAAGGTTCCTGAAATGATTGGTATTCCCCTCCCCTGCCCCTTTATTTTACTGTTAAGATTTATAATATGCAAAGGTGATGAGACTTCATCTCACATACTTTGGGTATATTACCAGGAGGGTCCAGCCCTTGGAAAAAGACATACTTGGAAAAAGACATACAGAAAAGGATAAGAAGACCCTCAGGAAGATGAATTATACAGTGACTACAATAGTGGGCTTGAGCATGGCAGAGATCAGGAGGGGGTGCAGGATAGGGTAGGACTTCTTTCTATTGTACATGGAATAGCTATGAGTCAGAGCAAACTCAGCAGCACTTAACAACAACAAACTTGTATTTTGTATGGGCAGCTATGAGGTCCATGACATACAACATAGTCAAGGAAGTCTGCAACACATAACACAGTCAAGGACTTCTCAACACCTTTGTAAGCTCCTGTCCTTTCACGTGCATTTGTGAGAGGCGGAATGACTACACGCCCATTCTAAGTAACACATGATGTCAACTCCTATCGCTTCATGGTCCCAATTTTAGGCTCAGACTGGCAGGAGGAGGAGAACTGGCAGGAGCGATGCTTTGTGGTGGCAGTCTGGATTCTCAGATAGGAGATAAAGCAGGTGACTCCAGATGTGAAGTGATGGTGTCAGCCTGCCACCTGTCACTCATTGTGTTGTCAATCATTCCAAGACCACAGAGAGTCAGAATGTAGACGTGGGAGGTGCAGTGCGGGACACACAGGAAGGCTCTCTGTCATTTTAGCCCCCTTGACGAGCCCTCCTGGTGGTGTTTCCATTTCAGACTTCCTGTCAGAAAGAGCGATGATGTGTAAAGTAACAGGCTTCGAGGTGTGATTCACGTGTAACAGTGGGTGGGCTGAGACCACCCTCTGAATGAATCACATAAACTTTCTTTCCTACCACTCTGTATACTTGGAAAATCCCTCAAGTTGAGGTCTTGTGGGGTTTTATTTTCCTTTCACTTACCAGGATGGTCATTAAAAAAGATGGTAAACCCTGAGGGGGCTAGCCACTGGAGGGAAGAGCTCTTCACCTGAGGAACAACACACTTTAGAACGAGCATGTGGCCTTCCTCCACGGTCACGGTGTCGGTGATGGTGTGACTGATGCTGGTGTGGTTGACGACAAAGGTGCTGGTGTGGTTGGTGAAGGGGTCGGTTGTGTTAGTTAGAAAGGCTTCTGTGGAGGAAGAGAATTGAGGATAATCAGGCTGGTGTGTGTGAGGCTACTCTTGCACTGAAGCAAGGACTGAGTCTCCACACTTCATTCATTCATTCATTCATTTGATTCATGCAATCCCCATTCCTTGTCTAAATCTAAACATGAGTATATACATACATAATTTTGTGAGGAAAAGAGTTAACACTGTGTATGCTCATTCAGTGCTGTTGAATCAGTTCTGACTCAGGGACCCTCCACCGGGTTTCTGAGGGGGTAAATCACAATAGATAGAGACTGCCCATCCTTCTCCCTTGGAACACTGGTGGATTTGAACTTCTGGATGTGGATAACAGTGCAATGTACTACAGACTAAGACACCAGAGATCTCTATCACTAGGTATGTTGTCGTTGCTCAGTATTGTCAAGTTGCAACTGACCCACAGCTGACCTTCCAGCAAGCTTTCAGAGGAAGTAAATTGCACAGGAGGAGATTGCCCATTTTTCTCCCATGATACAGTTGGTGGATTTGAACCCCATACCTTTGGGTCGGTAGTACAATTCCACTAAACTGCCAGGGAGGTCTGGTGCTGCAATCCTAAAAGCAAGTGGTTTGAATCCACTGGTTTCTCTGTGGGAGAATGTTGGACAATCTTCTCTTCGCTGGAGGGTCAGCTATGGGTCAGTTCTGTCTCGATTGCACACCACCACCACCACTACCACATCACTAGAGCTTTCTCTCACTGTGTATAGGAATAGTAAAGTTAGCTCATGAAAAAGATGCTGACTGGAGTAGGTCTGAAAGAAGAGGGAAGGGTTTTTTTAGGAAGAAGGGGGACGTTCAACAATATTTGTTAAATACTGGGATTCCTGGGTGGAGCTGAAGGGGGATGCTCTCAGCTGCCAGATGAGGTTGGTTACCTGAACAATTGATAATCCTATTTCATCCTGAGGAAACGGAAAGAAAAACTAGCCATCGAGCACTCAGTGGAGCACAGTTCTACTCTGACACACATGGGGTTAATCTGAGTCAGAACTGACTCCATGGCAATGGTGTCTGTGTTTGATTTTGTTTTCAAATTGTACTTGGCACTTACTCTGTTATGTATGCCAAGAACTCTGCCAATTTTATCTTCAATATAATCTTCTAAAGGAAGGATTATCTTGTTCATGTCAGTGAAGGGATAAAACTTAAAGTCACACAAGCCATGGAGTTGAGCATAATATCCAGCCATGGTCATGTAACTACATCGGCCTGGCTAAGTGATGAGATCCCAGAAAACTCATTATACTGCCCTTGGCTTATAAAATAGGTGAATAATACCTTTAAGTATTACATATACATTATATATACTCTGAAATCTAAGAATGAATTTTATAACACAGTGTTTTCATGATTTGTGGAATTGTCTTTCTTTTTTTAAAATTAATTTTAATGAAAGTTTATAGAGACTTAGGGTTTCCAGTCATTCATTGTTGCACTTTTCTCCCTACCCACCCTCTCCTCCCAATTCACTCTTCTCCTTGAAAAGAAAAAGAAAAACTCTTTCACTGTTATGCAATCCCTCCCCCCAAGTCCACTCCACTATGCAGCCTTCACTCTGGACTTCTGTAATGACAAGAATACCCATTCATATGTCCCTTTCAAACAGTTCTCTCCCTCATCTGTTTTAATGCAATATACATCATTCCTCACCTACTTTTCTGTCTTGCCTCAACCCTGACGTCAGTCTTGTTTTATAACCGTGACCCTATGCAATATTTGTCCTTTTGTGTCTGAGATATTTCAATCAGCATAATGTCCTCCAGGGTCATTCATTTTGCATAATATTTCGTGAGTTCCTTGTTTTCCAATGCTGCATAGTATTCCATTGTGTGAACGGAACTGTCTTTCTTGAGACAAATTTTCTAGACTATTTTCACCTGTCTTTCTAGAAGCTGCAAATGAGATTTTTATACCACAGCAAGGACATTTTCTTACTTCTTCCCTTCCTTCCTTCCTTCCTTCCTTCCTTCCTTCCTTCCTTCCTTCCTTCCTTCTTTCCTGCCTTCCTGTCTTCCTGCCTGCCTTCCTTTTTATTTTTTAGCAAGGATATTTTCATTCTTTCCTTTTTTTATTCTTTAGCAAAGATATATTAAAACCTCTACCAGTCCGATATTCTGCAGTAGGAATTCTTCCAGGCAAATGTGGAAATCTGATTTCCCTGAATCACAACTCTCAGATGGTTTTGTGTTGTTACATTCCTAACAGATGTTATTGTTGTTCGGTGCCACAGAGTCGATCATGACTGATAGTGATCCTGTGAACAACAGATCTGAATCCTGCCTACCCTGGCCTTCTTCACCATCTCCAGCACACTCAAGGCTATTGCTGCACTCACTGTGTCAATCTACCTGGTTGAGAGTCTTCTTGTCTTTCACTGTAACCCCACCTTTTCCAGGCATGATGTCCTTTTCCAGAAAATAACCTCTCCTAGCAACATGCCCAAAGTATGTGAGATGAGGCTTTGCCATCCTTGCTCCAAGGAGCACTTCGCCTGCACCTTCTCTAAGACATAACTGTTTGTTCTCTTGGCAGTTCATGGGACAGTCAGTTCTCTTTTCCAGTCCCACAATTCAAAGGCATCAGTTTTTCTTTTTAACAATTTATTTATTTTATTATTTGTGTGTGTGTGTACCGTCAAATCAGATCTGACTGGTACAGGAGGAGATTGTCCCTCCTTCTCCAGCAGAGCATCTGGTGGATTTGAACTGCATACCTCTGGGATTGCAGTGCAGCTTCTTACCACTAGGCCGCCAGAACTCACCACATAAGTTTTTCTTCTGTTATCCTTATTCATTGTCTAGCTCATCAATTTGTTTGATTGATGAAATTGCTTGTGTGATTTATAGTCTCAGAAATCCAATAGATGGCCATCTGTGAGTCAGTTCTGACTCCACGGCAATTAGTTGAGTTCAGTTTGCCAGAAGTGATGATAAACATAAACACAAGAATATTATTGGATTATAAATTATGAATAGGAAGCCTAATAGATTTTCCTGCAATATCTTAAACCTTAAAAATAAGATAGAGTTTATTCCCTTGTGATCAATTTAAAATGTTAGGAAAAGTGCCTCAGAAAGCTGGGAAATTAACTGGTATAGATATTTTTGTTTATTCCATTCCTAGATCAGATTATTAATTTCAATCTATTACTCTGGCAGAATTATGACATTGTATTCACGTTGGTTCCCGTGGAAACATAGTTTGAAATATCCATTTCAGTCAGCATAATGGGCAATAAGGAGTCAACAAAAAAAATGTGTTTTCAAAAAAGTATTGAAGAAAACAAAGGCAAGAAATTCACTAAAGGAAACAGAAGACACATGGTAACTAATACATTTAATTTGGTCTTAATTTAAACATTTTTTAAACTGATAAAACAATCAGATCTTTTTAATGCTGTCTGGAAACTGGATACTTTAAAGAATTAGTATTAACTTTTTGAAAAGTGATAATGTATAGTTGTTATTTTGAAAATAACTATTTCTTATAGATACTGAAATATTAATGGATGAAATAGTACAATGCCAGGTTTCTCTCCAAAATAATCTCTGATTGAGGGAGTGGATTAGACTGTATTTAAAACAGTATTGGCCCAAGCTGATAATTTTTGAAGCTGAGTGGTAAGTCTGTGGTTGTACATTCCATTTTTCTTTGTCTTCTACATGTACTTGAAAAATTTTCACAGTAAAGATATTTTGAAAAAAGAAAAAACTCTGAAACATGTTATAATTAAAGTTGTGTGTCAAATTGATTCTTCCTGATGAGGTTTGGTACAACTCAAATATCTCTATGATGAGATCTGCTATGAGCAGCCAATCAGTTGACAGTTTCTTCAGGGGTGCCTCCTGCATCCAGTCTAGATGGGCATTCTAACAAAGCTGGCTGGCTTTTTAGTTAATCTGAATCTTACATCTGGCTCATCATCATTTGACCTCTGGTTCTTGGGACTTGAAAACCTACCAATCTTGGATTGTTGTTGTTGTGGTTTCCAATCTTGGATTTGTTGGCTTCTACAGCCTATGAGCCAGCCACCTGCTATCTTACTTGCTGACCTTGGGTTTGTCTGCTATTACAACTTCATGAGTCAGGTGAGACCTCCAGTCTGGCATATGTCAATGGGACTTGTCAGCCTCTACAACTGTGTGAGTCAAATCTCTCTTGGTCATTATATATGTCTGATATAAGTCTCATCCAACTCATAGCTGACCCTTCAGTGGGTTTCAGAGGCTGTAAGTCACACCGAAGAGGTTGCTTGCCCGTCTTTCTCTCACAGAGCTGCTAGTGGATTCAAATAAAGTTCCTTTTGGTCAGCTGCTCAATTTCTTTCATTAATCTCTCTCTATATTATAGTTCCTCTTTTTCTGGATACTTCATGTGAACTAATAGATGTTTAGACATAATTCCAATTTCTACTGTGGCAGGAAAATAGTTAGCAAGGTAGGCGGTGGAAACGTTCAGGACTCTAGTCCAGACAAAAATAAGGAATGACTAAAACCCACCCAACCACTAATCATTCATCTCTCACCCTAAAGCTATAGAGGCTATGTCACTCGGGATATCATTACTGATATCAAGTGAATCTTGGCTGAAAGTAAAGAGTGCCAGATGGAGTCTATTTGTGTTTTATGGACTGTGTAAAGGCATGTGACTGTGGATCACAGTAAATTGTGGCTAACAATGACAGGAATGAAAATCCCAGAATGCTTAATTGTGCTCATGTGAAACACCTATGCCTAGACTAAGAAACTAATGTCTGGACAGAGCTAGGAAACACTGCATGGCTCAAAATGAATAAATGAGAGAGTCAGGAAATGTATATTCATTCTATCTATCTATCTATCTATCTATCTATCTATCTATCTATCTATCTATCTATCTATCTATGTATATGTGTGTGTATATATTTATACAATCTATATGCTGAACAGATTATTCTAGAGGCTGGACTTTTTGAAGAATAATGTGGCATCAGGATTGGATGAAGACTCACCAACAACCTGCATTGTGTAGACTGACACAATCTTGCTCAACAAAACTGAGTCAGACTTGAAGCATTTGCTGCAGAAGATCAAGGTCTGCAGCCTTATATATGGATTTCATCTGAACATCAAGGGAACAAAAACCATCACCACCAGATCAATAGACAGCATCATGATAGAGAGAAGGCAGAAATTGCTAACAATTTCATCTTGCTTGTATCCACAATCAACAAACACTCTTGGCACTAGCAGTCAGGAAATCAAAAGATAAGCTGCACTGGGAATATCTACTGTCAGTGACATCTCCAGAGTACTAAAGGACAACACTGTTAGTCTAGAAACTAAGTTGTGCCTGACCCAGACCATTATATTCTTATTTCCCTGTTATACATCTGAGAGCCGGACAGTGAATAAGGATTGCAGAAGAAGAATCACTGGCTTTGTGTTACAGTATTAAAGAAGAATATTGAATATACCATGAACTACCAAGAGAACAAACAGATCTGTCTTAGTGAAACCAGATTTCTCTCTGGAGGCAAGGATTTTGAAACCCTGCCTCACATATTTTGGGCATGTTGCTAGGAAGGACTAGTCCTTGGAGAGGGACTTCTTGCTTGGAAGGATGGAGGGTCAGTGCAACAAGAGAGAAAAGATCTGGATGAGATGGATTCACACAGTAACTGTGGCAATGGGCTCAGTTGTCAGGGATGGTGAGGTTGGTTCTGGATAGGGTAAGATTCAGAGCTGTTGTTCACAGGATCACTGAGTCATAGCTGACTCAATGGCACATAACAACAACAACAAGCAGGTCCTCATAATTACTCACCATGCATCAGAATGCTGGACAATGAATAAGGATAACAGAAGAAGAATGGGTGCTTTTGAGTCATGGTGTTGGGGTTAGGGATGTCAGTGACAGTGTAATTGACTCAAGATAGAACAGAGTTCAGTGTTATTGTGCATAGGATCTCTATGAGTTGCAGACAACTCAATGGCACATAACAACAACAACATATGCAGAAGAAGGAAGAGCAAGCTCTTATACAATTCACTGCCTCTGAAAACCCACTGGAGGGTCAACGAAGGATCAATTCTGACTCAACTGTATGTGTATACAAACACACACACACACCTCTAGAAAACAAAGCAAAAAGCTAGAGTTGTTAGGCTTGCTAATTTTAGAGGGTAATTGAACAACAAACATTGTTTA